TTACTCTTTCTGTAAGTACTGCATTTGTTGAGCACCTATTATGTACCAGGAACTGTGCTGGATGGCAATCATATAAGGACAGTTAAATCACAGTCCTGGCCTCCATGTGCAGAACCTAAGGCAAAAGAAACAGACACAAATGAAATAAATGCAACCATGTGGCAAGCCCATTGGTGTAAGTATGCCTAGGGAGAAGGAGGACGGGGACCTGCCTAGATAGATGGTGGGGGACAGAGGAGTGGGGAAAAGTTGGGAAAGGGAAGTCTTCTTGAAGGAGGCAGGCTTAGGCCTGAGAAGGCAAGAGAAAGGTGAAGGGCTGGGCAGACTTAATGGGCAGAGGGACCAGCTTGGGCAAAGGCACAGGGGTGAGAAGCATGGCAATGAGGACCACTCGCAATGAGAACAGAAGTGTCAGGCCAGAGGGAGGGGAGCAGCAGGAGGGAAGGCCCAGGTGGAGCAGAGCCATTTTGGCATCAACCTTAGGTTTCATTGGTATTGGGAGCCATCAAAGGATTGAGGGGAGCCTGATAGTTCACCCTGGCTCAGTATAGAGGAAGGGTTGAGGGCATGGATTGGAAGAAGGAAGGTAAGTTGGCAGGATGTTGTGGATCCAAGAAATACATAGGAGATACCAGGCTAGTCTGTGTCTGAGTGTAGGTGGGTGGTGGATGCCTGGAATGGCTCCTTGGGAGTGTAACCAGGTGGAAAACACAAGGAGAGGAGCACTCCCACCCAGCTCTGGGCTCTGGGCACTGAGTATGGGCAGGGGCTGGGGACAGCCAGGAGTGTGGACAGAACTCTCTGTTCCATCTGATGCTGGGCTTCTAGACCTGGCTCATGAACAGGGATGGTCTGAGGAAGCAAAAGAAATATGGATATGTAATGAGCTTTTCATAATCCTTAGTTCTTTAAAGTATACACTTTACAGAACTATCCTTAAAATGTCTGCAATTAAATAAGCCTATTGCTTGCAGGGGTCCTCAAACTTTTTAAACAGGGGGCCAGTTCACTGTCCCTCAGACCATGAGGGATGAGTTGCCTGCTAAGCAAGACAGGCAGCGGCAGCAAAAACACCCGGGAGGCTGGATAAATGTCCTCAGTGGGTGGCTCGGCGCCTATGGCTCAACCGGCTAAGGCGCCAGCCACGTACACCTAAGGTGGCGGGTTCGAATCCCCAGCCTGGACCCGCCAAACAGCAATGACGGCTGCAACCAAAAAATAGCCGGGTGTTGTGGCGGGCGCCTGTGGTCCCAGCTACTTGGGAGGCGGAGGCAGGAGACTCGCTTGAGCCCAGGAGTTGGAGGTTGCTGTGAGCTGTAATGCCACGGCACTCTACCCGGGGGGACAGCTTGAGGCTCTGTCTCAAAAAAAAAAAAAAAAAAAATGTCCTCAGTGGGCCTCATGGGGCCTGCAGGCTGTAGTTTGAGGACGCCTGGGCCTTAGAGGCATGAAGTGCCAGAAAGAAAACCCTTCTTTAAATATTCAAAAAGTAGTTTCATCTTGGGAGTGGGAATGGGGGGGTGGGAGGGACAGGCAACAGGTTTTTAAATAAGCCTTTTAAAACCGTAATGTTTATAAGCCTTTACAAACTATGGACATAAAGCAAATTCAAATTTTTTTTTGTAGAGACAAAGTCTCACACTATTGCCCTGGGCAGAGTGCCGTGGCGGGCAGAGTGCCGTGGCTCACACAGCTCACAGCAACCTCCAACTCCTGGGCTTAGGTGATTCTCTTGCCTCAGCCTTCTGAGTAGCTGGAACCTTACAGGCACTGGCCACCAGGTGTGGCTATTTTTTTGTTGCAGTTTGGCCAGGGCTGGGTTTGAACCCACCACCCTAGGTATATGGAGCCAGCATCCTACCCAGAGCCACAGGCGCTGCCCAGCAAATTCAAAAATTTTAAAATAAATAACCCACTGGCCTTTGTTCTGAGTTTATGGCCTTGCTTTTTCTATTTTTATAGACAAGAGTCTAGCTATGTTGCCTAGATTAGTCTGAACGCCTGGGCTCAGCCTCCATAGTATCTGGGACTACAGGTGTGAGCCACAGCGCCCGTCTGAGTATATGTCATTTCTACTTTTTTTTTGTTTTGTTTGTTTGAGACAGAGTCTTAAGCTGTCGCCCTGGGTAGAGTGTTGTGGCGTCACAACTCAAAACAACCTCCAACTCTTGGGCTTAAGCGATTCTCTTGCCTCGGCCTCCGAAGTAGCTGGGATTACAGGCACCCGCCACAACGCCTGCCTATTTTTTGGTGGTAGTTGTCGTTGTTGTTTGGTCCGGGCTGGATTTGAACCGGCCAGCTCCAGTGTATGTAGCTGGTGCATTAGCCCCTTGAGCTACAGAAGCCGAGCCCGTTTCTACTTTTTAACTGTGAGAAGTGTCCTTTCTTGTATGAGATTATGATAATAGAGGATAGCCTAAATTCCACCCCCCCACCCCCAGGTCCTCATTCGGCAAAACCGAGCCCTGTGCGAAACCCCAGGGCGGGAGAGGTGAGAGCATCCGGGCAAGGGGCGGGAGAACCGCGGGCTCCGCGCGCCTGCGACCCCGTGGGCGGCCGGCAGGGGTCAGGCGAGCTCCATGCAGCCCGGTCCCGCGGGCAACAGCTGTGCTCCGCGGCTCCGGGTGCCTGAAAGGAGGGAGTCAGACCGAGGGGTCTAGACCTAGTCTAGGCTGGGCGTGGCAACAGATGGTTCCTGGTCTCCGGCCCCAGCTCCCGCCCGACGGGCGGTGGGAGGGTGCTCCTTTCCAGCTCGCACGTCGCGTTTACGCCAGCACCGCCCCGCCCCGCCGGCGTTTCTTGGTTCGAGTGCTGTGGACAACCGGTTTTCTGGAAGAGCCCTGCGCAACCTGGCCTCCCGGTTGCCTCCCGTACCCTTGACTCTTACCATTAGATTACATGGATTTAAAACTAGGACGTTAGGCCTCTGGGGAAGACCCTCTAAGCCCCAGAACGGTTGTTAGAAAAGGTGTCAGTCACCCCTGGATGTGATTTGGTTTGGGAATCTAGGAGTCTGCGTGTCTTACAGGTTGCAGAATTCTGATAAGCGGTATGCTCAGACCACGCTTACAGAAACATTCTTATTTCTCCCTTCCACAGGGGCCTGGGCAAATAGTGTCACCTGCCTAAAGTTGGAGTGGAATTTGAGGTACCCCCAGGAAGGAGCCCAGCTGGCAGTAGGTGCTGTAGACTTGCCCAATGCATGCAGACAACCCAACATGCCCACCAGAAGCAGAAGTGCTCTGCTCTCCCATTTACCACTCAGGCTGCACAGTTCATTTTGGTTTTTCAGTTTTATTTTAAAACATTTCTCTTTTACTTCACATACTGAATCAGAACAATCATCTTCTCCCCAGATTGGCAAGGCAACACTGGATGAAACATCTCATTTCATTCTGTCTCCAGGCTACAGGTTTTTATTTATTCATTTATTTTATTAAAAAATATATTTTTAGACAGTCTTACTCTGTTGCCCAGGCTAGAGTGCCATGGCATCAGTTTAGCTCACGGCAACCTCAAACTCCTGGGTTCAAGTGATCCTCCTGCCTCCACCTCCCAAGTAGCTGGAACTGTAGGCACCCACCATAATACCCAGCTAATTTTTTTATTTTTAGTAGAGACAGGGTCTTGCTCTTGCTCAAGCTGGTCTCAAACCTCTGAGCAATCCTCCTGCCTCGGCCTCCCAGAATGCGAGGATGACAGGAGTGAGCCACAGCGCCTGGTCTAGGCTATGGATTAATCCAGCAAGATCACTGATTTGGCCACATTCATCTCCAATACAGTGCCAGGGCAAGATAGGGAAATGAAAAGGCAGCTCATGAACCTTGGATCTTCCCTTTAGGATGGCACTGGATTGGGTAGGTAAGGAACTAGCCCAGTTGTCTCAAGCACCAGGCTGGGAACAACACTTGGCTACAGGTGAGGACCAAAAGCCAGGCCAGGATATGCGCTGCTAGGTCAGAAGCCAAGAAAACCATTTCCCTCTTATAGGAACTTAAAAGGGGAGGAAAAACCCAGACCCGTTCCATTCTTAGACCATGCTCCATCCAGGCTGCTGTGCAATGGGGTTGGTCTCAGGCTGGAATTCTCAGAACACTCCCATTTTTGCCGCTTATCAGATCTGGATTCTAGCTCCAGTTCTGACCTTGACAAAGTCAAATTGTCTTGGTCTTTTTTTTTTTGAGACGGAGCCTCAAGCTATCCCCCTGGGTAGAGTGCCATGGCATCACGCTCACAGCAACCTCCAACTCCTGGGCTCAAGCGATTCTCCTGCCTCAGCCTCCCAAGTAGCTGGGACCACAGGTGCCCGCCACAACGCCTGGCCATTTTTTGGTTGCAGCCATCATTGTTGTTTGGCGGGCCCGGGCTGGGGATTCGATCCCACCACCTTAGGTGTATGTGGCTGGTGCCTTAGCCGCTTGAGCCACAGGCGCCGAGCCTTTTTTTTTTTTTGTCTTGGTCTTTTATAAACCTTAAGGGTGGTTTCCAGAAATGTATTATTTATTTATTTTTTGTTTGTTTGTTTGTTTATTGAGACAGAGTCTCACTTTGTTGCCCTTGGTAGAGTGCTGTACCATCACAGCTCATAGCAACCTCCAATTCTTGGGTTTAAGACTCCTGAGTAGCTGGGACTACAGACACCTGCCACAATGTCCGGCTATTTTTGGTTTTTTTAGCAGGTTGGGGCTGGGTTTCAACCCACCAGCCCCATGTGGCCAGTGTCCTAACCACTGAGCTATGGGCACTGCCCAGTTTCCAGAAATTTATAAGCTTTTTTCTAGCTCCAAGACTTTACCACTTTGTGCTCCTTCTTTCCTTTAAAAATCACTGGGAGATCTGTAAGGGCTGATTCTACACTCTTGTCCTCCATTACCAAGCAGGCTAGAGGGCAGAAATAGGACCTAGCCCAAACACTCTTCAAGGACATGGGCTGGATCCAGACAGGAGGTAACAGCAAGTAGATTGCTTCTCTCCCAAAACACTGCTTAGGAGCAGATGGGTTTGCTTCACAATATGTTTAATACAAAATGGCAGCAGCCATTGTGCAATTATAACAAAATTAGCCATGGGGTGTCTAGAGAAATGTATGCAGGCAGCCTTGGCTGGATTGGCTTGACTCCAGCCAATCTAGGCCTGCTCAGGTAGGACCTGTGCCTGCTGCCCGCTCAGCTGTGGATGGTCACATGGCCAGGACTGGACAGTGTCATGGTAGGGCAGTATGGAGTGGAAGGATCAGGGACCGCTGAGGAGTTGATCCTCCAAGGGCACACAGACACCCCATCTTCTGCCCTTCTGTAGATTCTCAGCAGCACACATGTCCATAAGATGCCTCTAGGAACTGGCAGAAACAGGGTTAGCTTTTTGACTTTTTTCCCCAGAAAAGAGTCTACAAGTTGATTATCCCTTATCCAAAATACTGGGGACCAGCAATGTTTCAAATTTTGGATTTTCAGATTGGGCATCTGGTATCAAGCTCCAGTAAATAAAGAGGGCCAATGCTTTTACTATACTTGAGCAGGGAGAGTTCTCTTCCAGGGCTCATCTAAGAGAAAGGGGTGGGCACCTACATGCCCCCAGGTGACCACCACTGGAGGTGGGAATATCAGGGTTAGAATTAGAGATTAAGGGGAAGGCCTATCCGAGCAATCACCATAACAGCTAACATACTCCCTGCCGAGTCCATTTTAAGCGCCTGAAACTGTCCTGGCTGCTGGCCTGGCTGTGAGGCCCATGGGCTTGGCAACCATGCAGAGGCCAAAAGGCTAACACAAGAAGGGCAGCTGAGCAACAGGGCCTGCCTCAGGCAGAGCAGGAGAGCTGCCATGTCTCCTTGCAAAGAAAGGCCTCTAGGTGCTGGGTAAAGGGACTGATGGGTCTTGGGGCTAGTGAAAATCTGCGTTGAAGGCTCTGCCAATGACCAGCCGCCTTACTTCACTGGTCCCAGCCCCAATCTCATACAGCTTGGCATCTCGAAGAAAGCGGCCCATGGGAAAGTCATTGATGTAGCCATTGCCACCTGTAGTTGGGATTTGGACAGAGAAAAAAGGACAACAGAAGTGAGGGGCAGAGGGAAAAAAGCAAAGACAGCAAACAGAAGGCCAAATACACAGAAACAGGCCATAGGAGAGATTGATTAACAAGAGGCAAAAGGTGTGAGAGGGACGGAATTCAGTAGTCCCCCTACTTATCTCAAAGAATGAGTTCCGAGACCCACAGAGGATGCTGAAACCTCAGATAGTACTGAACCCTACATATATGTACACACACACACATATATACATACTGTTTTTTTTTGTACATATAGACTTAAGATAAAGTGTATCAATTAGGCACAGGAGAAGATTGTAACACAATAATAAAATAGAATTATAACAATATACCAGCATTATTATTCTTTTTGTTCGGAGACAGAGTCTCATTTTGTCACCCTCGGTAGAGTGCTGTGGCATCATAGCTCACAGCAACCTCAAATTCTCAGGCTCAAGAGATCCTCATGCTTCAGTGTCCCTAGTAGCTGAGGCCATAATACCTGGCTATTTTTAGAGATGAGGGTCTCACTTCAGCTCAGGCTGGTCTTAAATTCATGAGCTCAGGCAATCTGCCCACCTCGGCCTCCCAGAGTGGTAAGACACAAGTGTGAGCCACCTTGCCCGGCCCAGCGTTATTATTCTTGAGCTTTGAAGCCATTATGAAATAAAATAATGGTTACTTGAACACAAAGCACTGTGATCACAAGACAGTTGATCAGATAACCAACATGGCTACTAAGTAACTAAGGGGTAGATAGCATAGACAGTGTGGATATGCTGGACAAAGGGAGGATTCACATCCTGGGAGGAGACAGAATAGGACAGTGACAAGATTTCATCACACTTTTCAGAACAGCACACAATTTAAAACTTATGAATTGTTTAATTCTGAAATGTTCCATTTAATATTTTTGGACTGAGATTGACTATGTTTAAAACCATGGAAAGAGAAAGTGAGGATAGGAAGGAGTACTATACCTTATTGGGGGTAGGGGCATACAAGGGGCTAGGGCTGGAAGGCCACTCAGAATGCCCCTAATACCAGGCAAAGGAAGGGGAGAACCACTGTAGACAAGGAACAGGGGGACAAGATGATACTGGCATAGAAGAGCAGGTGTTCATACCTAGGCTGCCTGGCTTGGTCTCTGCTCCTAACCACTGTGCAGCACTAAAACCAGGCTGTTCCACCCGAGACAGCTTTCTTTCCCCATTTCCTTTTTTTTTTTTTTTTTTTTTTGAGACAGAGCCTCAAGCTGTCCCCCTGGGTAGAGTGCCATGGCTTCACTGCTCACAGCAACCTCCAACTCCTGGGCTCAAGCGAGTCTCCTGCCTCCGCCTCCCAAGTAGCTGGAACCACAGGCGCCCGCCACAAGGCCCGGCTATTTTTTGGTTGCAGCCATTATCGTTGTTTGGCAGGCCCGGGCTGGATTCGAACCTGCAACCTTAGGTGTATGTGGCTGGCGCCTTAGCCGCTTGAGCCACAGGCGCCGAGCCTCTTTCCCCATTTCCTAATGCCTATGAGATCGGTTGGGGAAGATGAGAGGGAGGTGTTACTAATAGGAGCAATGCATGGCCTCTAGTAGATTTCTCATTCACTTTTCATTTCCTTCTCCTAACTGGGGCAGAAAGAGCCTGAAGGTGCCTAACTTTTATTTTTTTGGAGACAGTTTCATTATGTCACCCTCAGTAGAGTGCCCTGGTGTCATAGCTCACAGCAACCTCAAACTCTTTGGCTTAAGCGATTCTCTTGTCTTAGCCTACTGATGCCCACCACGATGCCTGGCTATTTTTTTGTTATTGTCATCATTGTTGTTTAGCAGGCCCGGGCTGGGTTTGAACCCACCAGCCCCGGTGCATGTGGCTGGTGCTGTAACCACTAAGCTACAGGTACCGAAGCTAAAGGTGCCTAACTTAAGCACAGAGTGAGGCATGTAAAGGAAACCTCTTTCCGGCTCGGCGCCTGTGGCTCAAGCGGCTAAGGAGCCAGCCACATACACCTAAGGTGGTGGGTTTGAATCCAGCCCGGACCCGCCAAACAATCATAATGGCTGCAACCAAAAAATAGCCGGGCCTTGTGGCAGGCGCCTATGGTCCCAGCTACTTGGGAGGTGGAGGCAGGAGACCCGCTTGAGCCCAGGAGTTGGAGGTTGCTGTGAGCAGTGAAGCTATAGCACTCTACCCAGGGGGACAGCTTGAGGCTCTGTCTCAAAAAAAAGAAAGAAACCTTTTTTCAAGGTAACCACAAGCCCCAGGAGTGAGGGCAGCCTTGGGAGTGGGGAGTTGGGAGGCCACTCACCAAAACACTGAATGCCATCCAGGGCTACTTTCGTGGCACATTCAGCTGAGTAAAGAATCACTCCTGCACAGTCCTGTGGGAAGCAGCTTGGGTCAGCAGGGCTCACTAGGCAGGCAGAGAGCAAGTCCCAGCAGCCAGCCCCCTGCACCAGCCTTTCCCTCCCCTGGAGCTGGCCCTCACCTTGGCAGTGCAGTGGCCCTCATCACAGGCCTTGGCAACATTGTAGACGTATTGCCGACATGCCATGAGGCGGGTGTACATGTCGGCCATCTTCCCCTGCATCAACTGGGCACAAAAGGAGGTCACAGGTCAACGTACTGGAATAATCCTAGTTACCAACACCAACAATGGCAATGAGACAGTCAGGAATGGGGAGGCAAGGACCCAGTGAGGAGAGGAGACTTGCCCCAAATGACAGAAATGGAAGCAGGTGTGGCAGGGAAGGCCAGAGAGCTGCCATTCCACTATGGACATTGTACCCTGAAAGGGTCCTCATGGTCTCTGAAGGGTATTGTCCCCAAGGCACCATCTACCAAACCCTTATTACTTCTAGCAGCTTCTTCAGACTAGAAGGGCTGACTAGAGGTGTTGCTCCCTTTCCCTATTCCCCCACAACCTGTGCACTCCATCCTCCACCCTTATGATGTCTTGTTCATTCACCTCAAACAGGATTTGAAGTGACAATATGGTAAACTTCCCGACAGTTTCCAAAGCCAGGCTGCATGCCGAGGAAGCTCAAGTTCCAAGCAGTCAAGCTCATTTTGGTGGAGAAGGTAAGTAAATAACCACAGTGCATGCCCCACTTTCTCATTCTTTCTCTCTCTCTTTTTTTTTTTTTTTTGAGACAGAGTCTCACTTTGTTGCCCCCGGTAGAATGCATCATAGCTCACAGCAAAGCTCTCGGGCTTAGGTGATTCTCTTGCCTCAGCCTCCCGAGTAGCTGGGACTATAGGTGCCAACCATAACGCCTGGCTATTTTTTTGTTGCAGTTTGGTCAGGGCTGGGCTTGAACCCGCCACCCTCGGTATATGGCGCCGGCACCCTACTCATTGAGCAACAAGCACCGCCCCACTTCCTCATTCTTTAAAGAAAACTTGAACCCAACAAAAATGGACATGTCAACAAAACATTCCACTCACCTGGAAGTGGCCAATCTTCTGGCCAAAGGCTTCCCTCATGTGCAGGTAGGGAATAGCGTGGTCCAGGACAGCTTGCATGAGCCTGTCGGAAAGGAGAAAGACACCATGGAGGTATCTCACTGTCCCCTTGTCAGCTGGGGTGGCAAAGTGCCAGTGTGCAAAGGGGAGAACTCTGCAAACCAGGAGCTGCAGTCCCAGGGAAGAGAAGCGGGACCTAGAAACTCCTCTGTTATCCTGCCCAGTTACCCACTGACTGGCCAGAGGCAGGAGTAAGAGGCCTCTGCAGCCCAAGGACAATAGAGCCCAGGCACAATTCATGGCACAATTCAGAAATACTGCTCCTCAGGCCTTTTGTCTTATCTCCTTTCTATGTGAAGAAATTGAATGTGGGGCCAGAGGCAGGGGCTCACGCTTGTAATCCTAGCACTCTGGGAGGCCGAGGTGGAAGGATCTCTTGAGCTCAGGAGTTCCAGACCAGCCTGAGCGAAAGCCTGTCTCTATTTTAAAAAAGAAAGAAAGAAAACATTAGTGAGGCGTGGTGGCAGGTGCCTATAGTCCTCATTACTCGAGAGTCTAAGGCAGCAAGGATCAATTGAGCCCAGGGGTTTGAGGTTGCTGTGAGCTTTGATGATGCCACAGCATTCTAGCCTGGGCAACAGAGTGAGACTGTCTTAGAAAAAAAAAAAAAAGAAATTAAAACGTGGGAGGAGGTTCTTTTTGTCTCCAGGAGAGTATGGTTGCTCCCTTTGGCACAGCCAGTACTGAAGGTGCCACCTGCCCAAGGAAGCTGACAGAGCCCAGTTCCCCTCGAAGCCTCACACTTACCCGAGGGGCCCCCCAGCCAGCACCAGCCGCTCCAGGTCCAGCCCGCTCATCAGCACATACACGCCTTTACTCTCATGGCCCAGGACGTTGGCAGCTGCCGGGATAAGTGCCGGTCAGAGGGAGAGGGCTATTCACAGCCACCTCACTTTTATAAAAAGCTTTAGGTTTGGTACCGTGGCTCTCAAACAAGGCACTAAAATATATCACTTGACCTTCAACTAGGGTTCTGGGTGAGAGAGAAAAGGATTGCCTTTACCCCTTCCAGTCAGAAGTGGAGCTGCCAGGACCCCCACACCATTCTCAGGACCAGACACAAAGCCCTGAGTTGTTAGATCTTTCCCTTCTCCCCTTGGACTCCCTTGGATGGGAAAGAAGAAAAGCTAATTGGTTTAGAAGTCACCCAACCCCTCTATGGTTCTTTCTATACATGAACCTATAAAGAAAGAATCACTCTTTCCCCCCAGGTGAAGTCTGCTCTGGTCCAGTGTCACCTCCCTGCAGGGTGGTCCATGAAAGCCTCTTTATCCAAGAGACAGCCATTCAGAGCTAGTGACAGAAGCCGCCAAGCACCTCCCCACCCAGTAAGCCAGGACACTGAATGGCCTTGGGAGGAATGGGCAGGAAACTGAGTACAAAATGTTGACATTGTTGACCTGCCTTTAATGCAGGCTGAATTTTTTTCTGTCAATAAAGAAGGATCAGCACACATCGCCCTCCCTAGATGCTCCTAGTAATCAAAGCTATTTTCTGGGCTGGAGGATCATGGGGGAGAGGGATGATGTGTGGCTGAGGCAGAACAAACATGGCCATCAAACTCAGACCCCTGGTCTCATTAGCACATGATGGGCGTGCCGATGCTCCCACAGTGCTACATTGCATCACATTTGCATCTCAGGGGAGAAAATAAACTGAATTACCTTCTTTTCACTGAGTCTGGCTTTTGTCAGTTTATTCAGATTTTTTTTTTCTTAGCATTTTTTTTGGGGGGGAGACAGAGTCTCACTTTATCATCCTCAGCTCAGAGCAACCTCCAGCTCTTAGGCGATTCTCTTGCCTCAGCCTCCTGAGTAGCTGGGACTACAGGCGCCCGCCATAATGCCCGGCTACTTTCTTAGCATTGTTAATGAATAACTCACATATGCTTTACAGGCAAATGTACAGAAGATTGAAGGACATTAGTGGGACAGGGTAGATTGACCTTTCTCCTCTGGCTACTGGAATAAACCCCAAGTAGAGTATGTTATCCACATGGGAAACACCACCCTTCCTCTCAGCCAATCAGGCATATAGCTGCAGGGACTCTGGCCAGGAAGGACATCTGTCTAGCAACTCCAGGCCCACATGTCATTGAAGAGCTAAACAGTGGTGAGCGTCTCTAACCAAGAGATAAGCTTACTCAGCCAGATCAGCGTGTGAAGGGGGCATTCTCAGAACACCTACCAGGAACCTTGCAGTCTTCAAAGATTAGCTCACAGGTGTTAGAACCCCTCATCCCCAGCTTGTCAAGCTTCTTAGAGGTGCTGAAGCCAGGCATACCCTTCATAGGAACAAAAAGGTGGTCTTGAATATAGACTAGACCCAAAGGGGCCTAGAAAAGGGAAGGCCCCAGGAATAAGTTGCCCATCACCCTATCATGTCCAGCATTTATGCCCCATTCCCACGCTCCACCCCTAGATCCTGCATTGCCAACACCACACCGAGTGGGCAGCTGGTGCTCTCCTGAGTTCTCATGGGAGCAGTTCTTAAAGAAACACCCAGTTAGTCACCTGATTTCTCCTAACTCTCCCTGGCCTTACTTCCCTTCCCCAGGGCACATCATTTCCAAGACATCACTAGCTCATTCAGTTCTTTTGCCCCCTTGTCCTTCTGTCATCTGTACTCAATGGGATTCCAGAGATGAACTGAACCACCTGTGTGCTTTGCACCAACTACTCAGATGCAGCACATATTGGCAAGTGCCTAGGAGAGCCCTGGCACATGTCATTCCCCCTCAGGCTAATGAGGGTAGCATTACACAACCTTGAGATTTCCAATCTCAGCCAGGCCCTTTTCACTCCAGTCTTAACTCCTTTCTTCTTCTCACTCTAGAGGTTACTGTGAGCCTTTACAACATTCTTGCATTAAACTCTCTACCAACCTCCCCAGCCCTCACGGGCACCGGGGCCTCCAACTCAGTTATCAGGTGGGTCCTCTACTATCACCTTTAAACCATCCTTACCTCTTCTTCTTCTTCATTTTTTTTTTTTTTTTAGAGACAGAGTCTCACTTTGTCACCCTCGGTAGAGTGCTGTGGTGTCACATAGCTCACAGCAACCTCCAGCTCCTGGGCTTAGGCGATTCTCCTGCCTCAGCCTCCCAAGTAGCTGGGACTACAGGTGCCTGCCACAACACCCGGCTATTTTTTTGTTGCAGTTTGGCTGGGGCCGGGTTTGAACCCGCCACCCTCAGTATATGGGGCTGGTGCCCTACCCACTAAGCCACAGGTGCCGCCCCCATCCTTACCTCTTCTGGTAAGGTACCCAGCTCGCCTTTGTGTTTTGCTCATCATTTCTCCCTCTCCTGTCCTTTCTCTACCAAAAAATGTGATTGGTTCTCCCTCCTTTATTTATTTATTTTTTTTGAGACAGAGTCTCAAGCTGTCGCCCTGGATAGAGTGCTGTGGCATCAGCAATTGTTTTTTTTTTTTTTGCAGTTTTTGGCCGTGGCTGGGTTTGAATCCACCACCTCTGGTATATGGGGCTGGCGGCCTACTCCTTGAGCCACAGGTGCCGCCAGCGTCAGCGATTCTTTTGGGCTTTAGCGATTCTCTTGCCTCAGCCTCCCAAGTAGCTGGGACTACAGGCTCCTGACACAACACCTGGCTATTTTGTTGTTGTCATTGCTGCAGTTGCCATTGGTATTTACCAGGTCTGGGCTGGGTTCAAACCTGCCACCCTTGGTGTATGTGGCTGGCACCCTAACCACTTAGCTATGGGCACCAAACCCTCCCTCCTTCTTAAAAACAAACCCAAACTCCCAACTTTGAATTTTATCTGACTCCTGCTCTGTCTCCCTCTTGCGTTTGTTGTCAAAAGACTATTGAAGGTGCAGTCTTCAATCTCTACTTACATCCACCCGCACCTCAGTCTCCCACAGGCATGTGCTCATGGGGCTCATCAGTGGCATCCTGATTATAAAGTCCTGGCCTCCTTTCAGCTCTTCTCTTCCTGGACTGCTTTGTATGACCTTCCTTTGGGGAATGGCTACCCCTTCAGACGTGAACCACTCCCTTTTTGGCCACCTTCCTTTTAGTCTGCCCTTTGCCTCACCACCACCCTCAAGGGCCTTGCAGAACACACAGCACTGATCACATCTGAGATTAGTGGAAGGGGGCCATCTCTGATGCCCCTATCAGGACGCAGGCTGCCTGGTCCTACACCCACGCACACTCACCTTTTCCACAATGAAGGCTGTGATGCCCTGAGAAGCTGGCATAGCAGCCAGATTATTCTTGGCATAGACTATAAGGATGTCAGCATCAGGGCCATTGGTGATCCAGAACTTGTTGCCATTCAGAATGTAGTGATCTCCTAAGAGAAGGATGTTACTATCTGCTCAAGCCATCTTGGCTGTCTCACTTAGCCAGTCAGCCCACAGACCTTCTGCTGAGCAAGAAGCTACCCAGGTGAGAAAGTTCTGGAAACCCAGCAGGAGCCACCCAATTACTGTTCCGTCACCCTGATAGTCTGTCCTTCTGCCCATTTCAGCTCTCAAGTCAAGAGTCACCTCACCTTTCTTGTCTGCTTTGAGCTTCATGGAAACAACATCAGAACCAGCATTGGGCTCGCTCATGGCCAGGGCTCCGATGTACTCACCACTGATCAGCTGCAAGGAAAACCGCAATGGGCCTTGTCATGACCTTGGAGTATCTTACAGTAGCTCACTGATACTGCCTCCTGTTTGCATTACACCCCTTCAAATTTCTCTCAGACTGGGGTATTGTAAAGTCCTAGAAGTCTTTATAAGAAGCCCAGTAGGCTACAAGGCTGAAAATGTTCTTTTTCTCATTCTCTTTGCAAGGAACCTAGTCCTACTTGGCCATTTCTTTTTTTTTTCTTTTTGCAATTTTTGGCTGGGGCTGGGTTTGAACCCACCACCTCTGGCATATGGGGCTGGCGCCCTACTCCTTTGAGCCACAGGCTACTTAGCCATTTCTTAAAGTGCTTTTCAAATGTTGTCCATTTGTTGTCCAAGGCCCTACTTTTAATTGTTTTTGCTCAAGTATTTCAAAGTAGTATTTTTGGCCCCTTTCTAGGCGTATTTGGTTCATGGGAATGTGCTATAGAGAGCAAGATCGACAGGCCTGTACCAAGTGGAGAGTGTGCCCTGTGGTTGGCAATTGCACTGTGAGATCAGCATGTTTCCTCCTCTCCGTTTCCTCACCTTGGGGAGATACTTCTCCTTCTGGGTCTCATTCCCATTGCGCACAAGCTGGTTGATGCAGAGGTTGGAGTGGGCACCATAGCTGAGCCCCACTGCTCCAGACGCTCGGGATATCTCCTCCATCACCAGCACATGTTCCAGGTAGCCCAGGCCGGAGCCGCCATACTGAACTGGGAATGGGGTGGTATACATGGGATGGTAAAGAAAGGAAACCCAGATTAAATTGGGACAAGGACAGGAACCTTACATTTTTTTGGCAGAAAAGTAACACCCTTGTAGCACCTATTCCAAGTTCCCTCTAGCAAGGTTAACAGGTTAATGCCACAGACTCTGCTTATAACCTCACAGAACTGGTTTTGCCTGCTGCTTGCTGGTAGGCTTCAGGTGTGGTTCAGAAAATAAACATCGTAAGTTCTGCTTTATCCCAGATAGACCTCTGCCAAGGATGTGTGTGCAAAAGGCCTAGGGAAGGTTAGGAGATTTTATTGCATAGGTTTGCACCCAAAGAAGCCAGACTGCAAACGGAATAGGAAGCCACAGCCTGAGGGAAAATCTGTGCAGTAGGGGGCAGAAGAGATGCTGGTAAGGAAATTTAGAACCACTCCATAAAAAAGGAGGTTTGTTCTTGCCAGCAGATCCAAACTCAAAGTGGCTGGGTCATCTGGCACTACCCCCTTCCCTGCTGTTTGGGTCAAACCTGGCAAGGCCTCCTGTACATGTTTTCTGACCAAGAATTTAGGCTGGTCCTAGGCTCCAGGGAAAGCTTGACCAAGAATTCAGCCTGGTCCTAGGCTCTAGGGAAAGCGTGACCAGACTCAATGACTCTAAGAAAGAAAACCTGAATGTGGGTGACATTAGAAATACTCACTAAGGGCCAGGCATGGTGGCTCACACCTATAATCCTAGGACTCTGGGAGGCTGAGGCAGGTGGATTGCTGGAGCTCACAGGTTCAAGACCAGCCTGAACAAGAGCAAAATCCCGCTTCTAAAAATAGCCTGGAATTGTGGTGGGCACCTATAGTCCCAGCTACTTGGGAGGCTGAGGCAAGAGGATCACTTAAGCCCAAGAGTTTAGGTTGATGTGAACTATGATGCCGTGGCACACTACTAAGGGCGACAAAGTGAGACTCTATCTCAAAAAAAAAGAAAGAAAGAAAGAAAGAAGGCTTGGCGCCTGTGGCTCAACTGGCTAAGGCGCCAGCCATGTACACCTAAGGTGGCGGGTTCGAATCCCCAGCCCGGACCCGCCAAACA